CCTAACCTCACCCCCTGCCCCTACCTTTATCTCCCTTTCATTCGCCCCTTTTTTATCCTCCTTTTCTTATCTTCTCTTTCTTCTCTTTGTTTCTTTCTCTTTTCTCCTTCCTGAATGCCACTACTGTCATGTTAATCAGGTCCGCACGTGGTTTTGGTCTAAGACATGTATAACTTAATGCACCGAAACGTCTTAACTCACTATTTTCGTATTCATTCATGCTAAGTTCGCTACATGTCTTTGCTCCCCAAGCTCCCAGCTTCTACTTGTATGCTACAATCAATTCAGCAAATTTATACGGTTAGCTGTTTCATTTCTGCTTCTAAGCAGATTTGTAAAAGTAAGAATGCGTGAATGCATCTCTTCAAGTTAGTTCGTATCTGCAAGTGTATCTGTATGTCTCCAGTACTTAAATTCCACAATTGCCTGCGCTAAATATGTTGAAATTTTGCGGAAAGAGTTATCAACCATGTGCAAGGGCACTAAAATTATATGATCATTTTAGTTCCTGTCCTGCATTTCAGGCCCAAATTAAACTCTCATTACTCGATGAGGAAAATTTTTTTCCTGAAATTGTGTCAAACAAAAGGTTATTTTTTAGTTCAACTGATTGAATAGTGCTACCAAACAGCAAGATTTTGAACCTTTCCATGCTTCTACTTGTAATATATAAAATTCCAAATTAATTTGGAAGAGTACAAAAAAACCGTTTTAGATTCTACTTTATGGATGAATGCTAGGTTAAGAATGCAAAATTAGCTTTCTAATTTGAATTTGTTCTGACCCCTGACCTCATTTCTAAGCACTCTCTGCCAACAAGAAATAAAAGGCAATGAGTTCGAAATTTTGGTGTCTGCTTTGTGTGGGGTCAGCTGAAGATCACTATATCGAATACTTTTTTGTCTTGGTGCATTATCTACTAGGTAGCCAAAACGAGTTTTCGCAAAACTTTTAGTGTGCGCCTTATTTATGTTAATTTATGCGGCATAAGCATAAAAAGCACTGTAGGGCCGTAGCTTGGGAACCTTAAGGAATTTGAAAAGTGGAGGAGCGAGGGTGGCTGCATGTTTCCCTTAAAAAGTTGTAAAAAAAGACTTACCCATGCCATGCCAAAGTACAATTGGTATTGGCTCTTCATTACTGCCGTTTGATTTTAATAAATCTCGCACAGAATTGCTTATTCTTGCATATCCATAAGAGAGGAAGGTAGTGGCCAACAGAACGCTAAATCCTGTGCTTCGATACATTTATGCTGAAAATTTTAGCCGTTTGGGGATCAGTGAGAATGCTGTAAAACAAACTTTAAGAGTGCAGCTATTTTCGGGACGGATGTACTAGGCATGGTATCAAATGCAGGATAGCTGGGAACGGTATTGCCATTTAAACTTATTAAAAAAGTGCAGCAAATAATGGGTGAAGTTGAAAACGGTGGTTACCAGTAGATGCGTACCGATGAAAAAGGAGGAAATAGAAAAAAGAGCGGAGACTCTGGATGAGGACGACTGCTCGAAATCGTGTTGTTGAGATCTGATATTATCGAGGAAATGTACCTCATGCAGAGTGCAGAGACTCCATTAGTCCCGGACCACCTCTCTCTTAATTACTGCCTGCTGAACAGGCAGACAAACGACCGCCTGTGAGGGCAGAAAAAAAGGACACTTTTTCATCTCGGATTGCTAGCCCTAAGCTGGAAGGAATTAGAAAGAAAAATAGGATTACTCGTGCGCAAGCATTTCTTTTTTTTTTTGAAGGCGATGAGATCAAGGACACCATGAAAATCGTGCCTGTGGACTCACTGGTTCAGATTCCCAGAGATGAAAAGTGAATTGGTTAATGGGCTATTTCATCAGCGAAAAACGTTTTTGTTTTAGTGAAACAAAGTAAATTCCCCCAAATCCCCCATTTCGACTAGGGATGTGAATGACCGTCTGCCC